CCTGATTAAACGTGAGATAACATTGTAGCAACCTGGAGAAGGAGGAGGAAGGAGTTATGGACGTGGTCGAGGGTTGACGTGATAAGAAGTTTTACTTGATGAACTTGAGACTGACGGGAGGGGATGACATCGGAAAGGTCAGGGTGGTTGAGGGGTGGCGGAAAAAGAGAACCGAGCATGGGGCTTTTCGGATGCATCAGTGGGCAGCGGCAGAGAGTCGGCGGACGCGTCTATCCATAGGGAGGTTGACGAGTTGGAAATGAGGTAGTCGCAGGGTGGACCGAGAGACCAAGGTAGATTTGGAGATATGGATTGTTGGTTCGGGTAGAGACTCAGTTTGAAGTCCTTTGTTTTTGGTGACAGTTCGGGTCTGGGATTTATGCTCACGCGTGGTTGAATTGTCATAAGAGGTTCCTACGTCGTGGGAGTGAGTCTGCTGGGTTTATCATGACAGATTCCCGTGTAATGGGTTTGAGTCTGCTGGGTTTATCATGAGAAGTTCCTACGTCGTGGGTTTGAGTCTGCTGGGTTTATCATCAGAGGTTCCTACGCCGTGGGTTTGAGTCTGATGTATTTATCATGAGAGGTTTCCACGTCGTGGGTTTTAGTCTGCTGAGTTTGAATTGACTTATCTTTGGGGTTACTTCTATTTGAAATTCACTGTCTGGGTTTGTTGGTCATTTGGTGCTAATTTTCCGTGCAAGAGATCTTGGTTTCCTGGTCTGCGGAGGCTGTTGAGTAGGACTGGCGTAAAAGATGTGTGAGAGATTTATTGGCGTGGGTTGGGGGCAGTCGTGATTTACGGTGGAGTCTTTCAGCTTTGAAATGGAAGAAGAAGAAAAAAGCATCCGTAGAAGAGAATATGGTATGGAAATGTATTCCTGAGGAGTCTTTAAATTCATAGACCCCCAATACGATGGTATTCCTCTCACCCAACTTCCTCAATGTGCTGTAATTGGCGTATGTTGGGCTCTCTCTTTTTGTTTGCTGTGGAACTTCTCTCCTGACAAAATCCTATGTAGGCTCTTGTCATATATATTAGGAAATGTCTTTTTTTTTTTTGCTCTTTAAAAGTATTTGTTTTAGAGACACAGTATTACATAATACATACATGCCAGCATTACAACATTCAAAATAAATGTGGCCTTTTCTTCTATACAAATAATTAAAGTGATTTGAATAAAAGTGTTTTTTTTTTTGTTTTTTTTTTTAAATCAAGAGATAATGGAATTTTTAGACTTTTTCGAATATTTGGGTGGTCGTTCGACTCCACCTGGATACCACTTAGATTAAAGCTGATAGTTATATAATTGAATATATTTTAAATATTCATCATATCACTATATGTTGTGTTCCAAGCACCGACGCATTTCAATTTAAGTACTACAGTATATTTTATGAAAGTCGAGGTATAATTAAAAATTAATTACATTTATATTTGAATATATTGTTTGCTATCTTGTAATCGCCATTGTAATTATAATTAGGCATAGTGAGTTAAATTACATAATTATTTTAAAATACGTCTTGTAATATGTTACACTGCGATTATATATACAAATCGTTTTCGTATCTTAAATTCTGTAATTGATCTTTTGTCCTATAATACGATTGCATAAAATTAGCATTTAAATGTATGAGTAAAACTAATGTAAATATACAATAGATGTTACAGAAATGTTAGCAAATGGTGGTTAACTACAAAGGTTAATAACGAAGACAACGCATCATCAGAACATTGATCTGCGACACGTTTTGCAGTTCATAACGTTTCCGGTGCTTTTATACTTTTCTGTTTCTGTTGAACTACGGCGGGACAGCGGTAAATCTCTGGACTGGCAACAGCGGATAGCCCAATGTGGCTTAGCTCTAAAACAAATATAAAACCGTAAACTGTTTCTGTCTTCCGGTATATGATACAGAAAGTCTTAGTGTCATTAATTTGTAAACTAAATCTACGATAGTAATAGATTAATGATGTCTGTTAATATTCAAAATAACAAAATTTCAGCTTACGCAAACTTAATGTAAGAAAGTTTGTTTGTTTGTTGTTAAGCCCAAAACTATACAATGGGCTATCTGTGCTGTTCCCACCAGCTGTATCGAAACTAAGCTTTTAGCGTTATAAGCCTTTAGACTTACCACTGAGTGACTGGAGGGGAGCTAACTTAAGAAGAAGTGGGGTGATAAATTCAAGCAGTATTAACGATAAGCATGTCAACTATCTTTCCAGTGTTAAAACTTTAAAGATTAACATTATATATGTGTTTCTAACTGTTCCTAATGATTCGAGCGTGTTGTAAATGTGCTGGGTCCACCATTCGAGTCTTGTTACCACAAAAGTCACACTTCTCAATTTTAGGCCGTTAATGCATTATAAGAACGCCGTCAAATTCCTCTGTTCTACCAGAGAAAAGTATAGCTCAAGAGTTAGCGGTGGGTGCTGTTGACTAGTTCTCTAGTCCCTCAGTTTAAAATTAGACCATCTATAGAAGATAACCATTGCGTTGCTTTGAGCAAATATTCGAAATAAACGAACAATTTATAATTATTACACAAAAGTAAAATATTAAAAAACGAAATTACGTAACAAGCAACAAACATATTCTGAAAATTTGACGTCACCGAGTTGAAGAAAACAAACTATATATAATGTTGAAAAAAAAATCAGTCTTTATTTAATACAAGTCAGTTCTAGACCAGAAGCAATGACTTTGAAATTATCTTTCTAATTAAGAAGAACTTCCCCGTTCTGGTTCAGACTGAGAGAGTATGACATTATATGCAAGAAAACAAAAACATTAACATAACTCCTCTTGCAGTACAGGCTCTACTACCTACGTCAATAGATGTTCCAAATGAAAGTAGGAAGTGTTTTACCTCAAGGTATTTCTAAACCTGCCCATAGTGATGTTACCAGAGGAAATAACTAAGGATCGGAAAATAGCTACAGTATCTAGATTTTTCTGAACTGTAGGATTACAAGCAGCTACAGTATTCATGTTCTTCAGGACTACAGAAGCACAGAAATATATTGACACTGCATCTAACAATTTGGAAATTCTAAATCCCAGATCTGAACACATCGTTATCATCTGAGTGTTCGAATATCTTGGGTCGGAAAAAAAAACACTCTTACATATCCTTCCCAAAAGCAATTGCAATTAATTCTCGTTGGCATCACAGTACCTACAAACGCAGAACAATGTCAAAATGTAGTTCTAATACATCCATTCCACCGTGACTTTATATTGGCTTTGGTTATCATGTGACTTGCTAACTATAACGTTCTCAACTCTTTGTAATAGGGCATTGGGCTTTACTTTTTATGCAAATTAAATGTCACTGTGTTGGTTTTTTCATGACAATTGGATATGTAAATATAATCTGGTTGCTGTGCCAGATCTTTTTTATTATGATTTCATCGAGTGTCAGAAATATCTTCCTATTTCTGGTATCAGTACAGGGAAATATTTTGTTGTTAGAAAGAAATGACAGAAACTTTTAAAGCCAAACATAATTTATTAATTTAAAGTGCATGCGTAAATTTTTAATAGCTCCAGGTACTTGGTTGCGTTTAACACGACTTAATCGATTCTTAAAATAACTTAAGAAACGAATTCCTAATTACCTCTATATAAAAGCCTTGGACTATCGACTCGTCTCTATTATACCAACCATGGTTTCGTACAAAACATTCTCGATAATATCCGCTCATACTTTTCGGTTAGCAATTCTGGTAGGTTGTTTTGCTGGGTTTATTTTTCAGGCTCTCGAGTTTGTTAAATTCTATTATGAATATCAAACTTCAGTGGAAATCAAGATCGAATCTGCTGATAATATATCTTTACCATCTGTTACATTCTGCTATAAGCAAAAGTAAGTATTGAGATAAGATATATATTAAAGCATCAGCGATAGTGATTGCTATAATTATAACTTTCTGGTTGAAAAAGTCAGTATATCTTGGTTTAACTGAGATGATTAAAAACACACAAGCCAAAACATTAAAACATAACTACGCGACATTTTGGCTCCCTCTCTGTTTAATAATTGTTTCTCAGCTGTTTATAACTTTCATAACTGTAATTAACAATATAAATGTAAGATGTTTGCAAAACAAATCTAAATGTTACTAATCTAAGGGGAAAACATAGTCAACAGTCCCTTGTATGTCAGATTAGAAAGTTACATATTCTGCCAGGAAACATGCACTTGTATATTTTCAGATATATAAGTTTGTCTCAGCGGTTATATTGCATTTATTGTGTCAATATACCATGGTTTCCGTAAACAAATCTAAATGTTACTAATCTGAAGGACAATCACAGATTAAAGAGCTATAAACTCGCCAGGAAACATGCATTTGTATAATATATACATTCCAAATAATCCCAGTTACCAATGTGACTGTTTTTCAAGTACATTTAATAAATCTAACGGTTTTATATTTTTTACATTTATCTCTGAAGCAGATTTTTAGAGTTACTATCATTGAGGAACAAACTTCTACAACTCAAGCTTTAAAACGAGGATAGACGTGATTCTCCATCATATAGTTTTTGCTCCTCATTTATTTTAACTATCCATTGCAAGACATAAAATACAACTTACAGACTTTTCTTTAGTAATCATAGTTTCATTCTGATGAGTTTCAGTTCTATTATTTATTTTCGTATATAAATATCCCCTAGTGGCTCAGCGTTAAAACTCAAAACTTTTAACGCTAAAAGCCGGTTTTCGACAGCATAGATACCCCATTGCGTAATTTGTGTTTAAGAATAAACAAACGAGCAAAGCTATATATAAAAATATGTATAACATTTACGATAAAAGCAAAATAAAGTACCACACTCCAGTCACAAAACTGTTACACGTTTTAACGGTCATTGTGAATGGTTTTTATTTACTCAATGTAAAAATGTGCTAGTTGGTTAATATTGAAACTAAACGTTAGTTTTACCTTGGAAATCCTTAAAAGATGCGATTCATCTAGACTGTAGTTCTTATACACTGGTTAGCAACACCAGTACTATTCATTGACATTATAAAACCAAGATCGCTAAGTTTTTGAAACTCTTAGTTGGCATATGTGTTAAAAGTTATTGTTAGATTTTGGTTTATTAAATTACTTTATTTGAAGTAACGTATGATGGAAGTTTTAACATCCGTGGAGTTTCTCTGCACGATATTATATTTACCACACTGTTGAACAAATTCAAAGTTCTTTTTCCATATCATTATTTTTTAGAATAAAATACAAGTTGACGAGTTGGCGTACTAGTACCAAACAAGTTATAGTACATAAAAAATTATTTGTTCATTAGAAACTTGATAAAGAAATTATATTCAAAAAATGTGTAAATATTTCCTTTGCTGACAAGCGAGGAAGTATAATCGCTCTCCATTTGGTTATAACGTGTGGTTTTAAACATTTCTTAACAAAATATTTGCTATAAAAAAAATGACAGAGACGTTTCTGATTTGAAGACTTATTTATATAAATAATTTCAAATTTTACCATAGACCACCAGGTTGAAATCTGTCATCTAAGTTATGTATTATATTTTTTCAGGATTTCTCTTCTTATATACCCCTTTCTTGTTTCTTTCATTTATTTGCAGATTCAATTTTTCGCACTGGTGTGTAATTAGGCCCGATGATTGTTGTAAAGATGTAAGTTGCTTCACAATTAAAATCATATTTAGATAATCAGAAAAGTTTATAAGAAACAAAAAGTTCACATTGTTATTACTCTATAATTGTACGTTTTATTAAAAATTACAGTAAATTCAGTTACTTATTAATATACGTTTCTTCTGTGTCAGTACGTCTGAAAATCAATAGATGCCTCTTAGTCCTATGTATTACAGTTACCGCGTCTTCTTTGTATCAGTATATGCTTCTTCTGTGTTGGTACATTAGTACACGTCTCTTTTGTATTAGTATATCAATACATATTTTCTGTATTAGCATATGTATTAGTCTGTATTATTAACATATTATATGCCTGTTCTGTACCTGTACATATGTACTCTGTATTATTAATATATGCCTGTTCTGTACCAGAACATATCTACTCTCTATTAGTCTGTATTATTAATACATGTCTGTTCTGTATCAATACATATATATACTCTGTATTAGTCTGTATTATTAATATATGCCTGTTCTGTATTAGTACATATATACTCTCTATTAGTCTGTATTATTAATACATGTCTGTTCTGTTACAGTACATATCTACAATCTGTTAGTCTGTATTATTAATACATGTCTGTACTGTATCAGTACATATCTACTATCTATTAGTCTGTATTATTAATACATGTCTGTACTGTATCAGTACATATGTACTATCTATTAGTCTGTATTATTAATACATGCCTGTTCTATGTTAGTACATATCTACTCTCTATTAGTCTGTATTATTAGTACATGCCTGTTTTATGTCAGTACATATATTTCATATATTTTTGTTGAAGTTGTAAATATGAGATCACACGGATGTTAACGTGTACACATATTTCTGATTTATTGTATTATCTTTTAGTAATGACGTGTGATTAGGGTTAAATTTATTATACCGTATATAGTCGTCCCATGATTTTTGGCCAAAAAAATCTCAAGTTTTTATGTATCTCGTGTAAAAATCGACCTAGTTTTTCCGGCAACCTAAAAGAGCAACTTCTCACCCCAGGCCAGGTCACACTTACTGTTTTCTTGATGGGTGTTTAGGTCTTATAGACCTTGGAGGGTCAGGTGCAAATGACTTCTTCTTTTCCCCTGTTAGATGGTAGCTGTTTCAGGTGAATTCAAATTACCCTGACCCCTTTCAGTTTCAGGACAATGTCCATGATGTACTTACATTTATATTCGTGTGAATAAATACATTCGTTATTCGTTGTTGCAAAGTCCTGCACATGGCGAACAGTTCCACGTGTATTTTTCACATTCATTAATTTTACACTAATCGAGATCATTTACATAAATACCACTTCAATGATGTCATATCAGCTTAAAGTTAATGTGGGTTTCTTAGTCTAGCGTGAGATGGCCTTATTAAATGCTTATTCTTAACATATATATTAATTAGTGCGAAGTACTTAGGGCTATCCCCATCAATGTATGCAGTAGCGATCTAATTCACATAGAAGGTCATTTTGTGCCAATTTTTCGAGAAATAATTTAGCGAATAATGTAGGAGTCTATCGGAGATAGTTTATATATTTGCATAATTATGCATAAATTTTGATGAAGTGTATCTGGGTGGTTTGTATGCAGTAGTGAGTAGTGCATTTTGTATTGTTTGTAGTTTACTGATGTGTTTTGGTGCTATGTTTATCCATGCCGGGCATGTATATTCAATTACTGGACGTATGTATGTTTGTATATTTTAATTACATTGTCAGCTGAAGTTCTGTTGTTAGACTCTTGTCATAATTCGTACGTTGCCAAACTTTGGTTAGAATATTATTTGTGTGTGTAATCCACGTTAATCTAGAATCGTAGGTTAATTCTAGGAATTTGGCTGATGTTGTGGTCTGGAGAAGGGTTTCATTCATATATAGTGTTACGACTGCCGAACTCACGTGATGCTGCTGGCACTTTGGCGCTAGTTGCATGCATGATGAGTTTCTCGAATTATCGGGGAAGTCCGAGATTGTTCGAGATGCCCTCTTCCATAGTATATAAGCCTGGCAGTGCAAGCTAGCGGGGATAAATGAATGAAGAGAGAGCAGTAGTTACTTTGAGTTCCGTGTAATTTATGATTCTGCTAGTTTCGAGCTTGCGAGCCTTAAAATGTGTGTTTTGCACTCGTCGAGAGCGAAATTATCGAGATCGCGAATCGCTGTGATTTATAGCGTATAATATAAAAGTTGTTAAGTTTAAAGTGACGAGAAACGTACTGATTGTGGAACTACTGGGTACTAAAAGTTTGTGTCGAGGAAGAATAAACTGGTTTAATCAAGAAAGGGCTTGTATCGCTGAAGATCCTCGGAAAGAATTTCTACCCGAAACAAACAAACAAGCAGATACATAACAAATTGGTGTCAAAGAGCAGAGCAAAAAAAAAAGAAAAAAGAAGATGGAAACGAGAAGTGGCAAATCAAACTACGGACTTAGCAGATTTGATGGCAGCAATACAAGAACAGCAAAAGAAACAAGAAGAACGAAAAAATAAACAAGAAAAGAGACTACAGCAGTGGTTCAAGGAGAAAGAAAATAAACAAAAAAGAGACTACAGCAGTAACTGGAGCAGAAAGAAAATAAACAAGAAGAGAGATTACAGCAGTGGTTGGAGGAGAAAGAAAATAAACAGGAAGAACGAGAAAAGAAACAAGAAGAGATATTACAGCAGTTGTTGGAGGAAAAAGAAAAGAAACAAGAAGAGAGACTACAGCAGTAGTTGGAGGAGAAAGATAAGAAACAAGAAGAGAGCTTACAGCAGTGGTTGGAGGAGAAAGAAAATAAACAAGAAGAAAGTATCCAATAGTTGAGAGAAAGCCAGCATACACAAATGGAAAAGAGGAGTAAATTTCAAACATTAAAGGACGATTTACTGTCTTCTACACAAGGAGGATATATTAGCCATGGGCCTAATCAGCCCCAGACAACAGAAAACCTCTCCCAGACCCAGCAGCTAAACCCTAATGCAGACATCTTTCAGTCCTGCCAAAAGTCACATTCCAGACATAAGTTCAAGCAATAGGGGTGATCTAGTACGAAGAAAGCCACAGGAATTCGATGGGAAGGCACCATGGGAAGCATATAAAGCACAATTTGAGCTCCAGGTAGAAATGGATGGATGGACAGAGGAGCAGAAAGCAGTGTACTTGGCAACGAGCCTGAAGGGACAA